ACGTGGTAAATCTGTGGGTATTAATTTCTTCTATACAAACGTAAAAGCCTAACTGAACATATAGTTTTAAGCACATATCACCAATAATGAAAATTGCAGCATTCTGTTTTGCTGTATCTTTTCTAAATTGCTAAAATTGATTATTATACAATATAATTACAGACTTGGTTAGTCCTTAAAAGATTTAGATGTATGATCATTCACTGTTACATCTTTGTACAACATTAAATCTATAATCTTAAAAAAGGTATGTATACATACAACTTTGAATAACTATCTATACTGGATTTTTAAGCATTTCATCTGTTAATAAGTATTATTAGCCTTGATCTGGTGCATTTATGTTTGTGTATGTTGAAACTCTTGCATGAATATTTACCATCTTGCTTGTGTTTCTTTTTCCCAAAAATACATATATTACTTGTTTGTAGGATAATTAGAATTAACTATAGCTTAGTTGAGGATTCTACTGTTATAGGAATGTGATCCTAGCAGTGTCGGTGACCTATGAAGGAAAGAAAACTCTGTTCTAATATAAGCTACCTCTGAACTAATCTTACTAATTACTTGTTAGATATTACAGCAGAAAATATCCTTTCAATATCAAGTATTATTATACTATGGGAATCTTAAACATCAAAGCAAACAATGGTTTTTCACGCCACACCTCCATGGGAATCTTAAACATCAAAGCAAACAATGGACTCCTATTTATCAAATAGACAATAGTGATTGCAGTTTCTCTCTAGAAGAACTTAGGAAAACTAGCTCCCAATAACACACCTCAGCACGACCAATTTGTTGAAATGTATCTGCAGTTCTTATACCTTCTATCTTACAAAGCTCATTAAACTGCTCTGATGCAAACTCCAATTTGTTGTCAATTCTAACCACTTGGAGTTTGGTTATCTATTGATTACCGTTCATGGTGTGCCCCTTTTGAAACATCCCAACAAGCTCAGTTTTACTTTTCAATATATAAATACACACCCTTTGCAAGTAATCCTCTATGATAGTAAGGAAATAAGACTTTTCAACATGAGTTTGAGCTCATGTTAGACTCCAATAGGTTAAAACGGTCTATTGGACACATGGTTACCAACCCCAAACTTCAATATATGAGACTTTCGAAGTACACAAAACTCCAGCTTATCCATTATATTGCCTCCCAATAGGTTTTGTTTTCCCAGCTCCACCAAACCTTTTTCACTTATGTGCCCCAACCTCAAAGCCACAACTTTGTCTTGCATCATTTGACTAGGCACAGATGCATATGCTATCACTGGTAAACCATCTAGTGTGTAAAAACCATTCTTTTTCATCCCCTTAGTAGTTGTAGATGCTCTCTTTACAATCTTTATAGTACCGTGTTTAATCTTAGTTGTCAAACCCATTAGATCAAACTGCTAGCTGGGCCACCATCTTTCTTGATTCTATCATCTTGGATTGATACAACTGTTGTTTTAAACAGAGTCTATGTATCAAAGATTTTGTCATTTACCAGAACTCAAGTTTTATCCACATTGACACAACAGTTCTCTTAGTGACTTCCTTGAATGCCTTATCTCCAAGACATAATTATGGTGATTCTAGCTTTGTTGATCATGTCAATCTTCTCCTTCTTAGACAGACGTTGATATGTTTGCCTCCTTTATTGCATCAACACATTTATTGTATCAAGATAGTTGTCATCTTGATCCTCCATAATGCAAAGTTCACCAGAAAACTTCTCAATGTCAAATTTAGTGGTAATTTCTTTGAAATTTGTTCTTCAAATTCTTTCCACTGACTGACTCTATAGGTGATGCCAATTGTTGGGTTTGCACAATGATAACAAAGAAAAACCATGAGAACAAGAATAAAAAAAAGTAACTCTTATAATATAAGGTTATACAAAGAGTGAATGAATTATCAACACGACATACCCCACAGAGTAGCGTGTATAACTAAGGACTAACAAAAACCTGTTGAGATAGTTGAAACAAAATATTATCTACAATACAAGGGGTAGACAATAGACTGTCTAACTAAATCTTAATACTACTAGACATCTTTTAGAAGATGGACCCCTATGCTGATGTAGAGTCAATACATCACAACTATTATTGTCTTGTTTATCTTTTATTTCCACAAATATATGATTTGACCAAGCGTGCTCTCCATGACTTAAACTTAACAGGGAAATCATTTAGATTTACGGCTTGTTCGGAACCAATGGCTTTTAATAGACCCCAAGATACATTTTCTAATGTCAGAGGCAAATGAAGATAAAACATCTGGAGACTTCAGAGAAATGGGATCACGGCTTGCCCAAGAAGTGATCTCCTTCCTGAAAAAGAAGATGGATAAAGCTTCAAGAAGTGGAAACTTGAAGGATATCAAGCTTAGCTTTGTTGGTCATTCTATTGGGAATCTCATTATCAGGACAGCCTTAACAGGTATACCTACGCATAATTTTTTTGACATTAGCGTTTAGAAATTAAACTAGGGAAAGTAATGTCTTTCTTAAAATAATTCCAGAGAGCATCATGGAGCCATATCTAAGATACTTGCAAACATATGTCTCCATATCTGGTCCACATTTGGGTTATATGTATAGTTCGAACTCTCTATTCAATTCAGGGCTGTGGATATTGAAGAAGCTCAAGGGCACACAATGCATTCACCAACTTACATTTACAGATGACCCTGATCTTGAAAATACTTTCATCTATAATCTTTCCAAGGTATGGAATGCCTAATATTTTACTCTTGATTATAAGTTACCTGATCCCTATATCTAGGATTCCTTTTCCGTAATTGTGAAATTAATGCCTTTTTTTGGGCTTTGAAAAGGAAGTTAAGTTATTGGAGAATTGGGGCTACAGGGTTTTGTTCATATTCGTTTGCTATATTTCAATGAAGTGAAAACAGGGACACAAGTGATATTAGTCTTACTGTTTACTATTGTCTACAGGAGAAGACATTGGCTAACTTCCGGAATGTGCTTCTTTTGTCATCACCTCAGGTAATCTTTATATGCTTATGTGCGAATCGTCATAGTTTATAAGACACTCTAGAAGAACTTCTTACATTATTTTTAAAATTTCCTGCATTCAAATGCTAGATCACTTCCTGAAAGGTGAAGACGTAGCAAAAGATGTAGGAAGAGAAAAGCAAAATATGTAGAAATCTACAGGGTGGGAAGCTAACATCGATTAGGATTTATGCTAATAACCATATGTTTACTGTTTAGTCACACTCTTATGCAAATGTCTTCCATCATTTTAAATTAAATTATTTTTGTTAATTCATGATAAGGGTCCTGTGCAAATGATAGGATCTTGTTATATAGTTCAATGCTTGGTAACCTTACGAACCAGGCTTTTTTATCTTTATAAGCTTTAACCGGGCTCCAGTTTTCTTTTATTATTTCAAGTATATCATAATGATTCATTGTTGTTACATGTCAGGATGGCTATGTACCGTACCATTCTGCCAGAATAGAACCTTGTCCAGCATCTTCATTGGATTTCTCTAGAAGAGGGAAAATCTTCATGGAGATGCTGAATAATTGCTTGGACCAAATCCGAACCCACTCTGACGATAGGGTGGTCATGCGCTGTGACATCAACTTCAACACCTCTTCCTATGGCAGGAACTTAAACACACTTATTGGACGGACAGCTCATATTGAGTTCTTGGAATCTGACATTTTTGCGAAGTTCATAATGTGGTCCTTCCCGGAGCTGTTTTGTTAGCAAAGAAGTAATCTACTTGGAATTCAGACAACTTGTTGATTTAGATAGACAGTGAAGTTGAGACATACTTCAAGAACATTGGAGCTGAAAGCATGGGATTGAAATCAAAAACAGCTCACAGATTCCAATTCAAAGCCCATCAGGGGCATGTAGTACGCTTCCAACACCATCCTCACGGTGTGACAAATTGGTAAATTTGATCCCTCCAAAAAATCCGGATCAGGAAAATGGAGGAATTTGCGGAGCAAGAAAGATGCATGGGACCTTGGCCATTGTAACAAGCCTTTTCTATGTAGTTATATATATATATATATATATATATATATATATATATATATATATATATATATATTTTCTCGGTTGTGGATGGGGATACAGCCTCTTTTGGCCAACAGGCAGGGTGTAGGCGTGTATGTACAAAAGACAGAATGACTACTTTACCCTGTCTGCTTAGGAACCTATAGAAAATGTTATACATTGACAGATAATATTCAAGTAATTTTCTACAGAACATCCATCCTTTTACTTCAGATTACGCTTTCTGGTATCATAGTGCCTTTTAAACCTGTTACTAGTTCTGTTTGTTCTTATTTATGTACTTGTTTGCGCAGATTAAATATACCTTACTGTAGATTAAACGTAATACTAGTTCAGAGTTCAGTGCTTCATTGGATGAATACTGAATAATGCATCCAAACTAAATTCTTCGAGTCAGATATCTGCGTAGTATTTGAGCAGTCTGAACATAGATGCCTTTTATTTAAGGGTGTACTGTGTATCATACTTGGGGAAAGTGGAAAACGAACATGTGCAAAAACTGAATACATAGTATTATTAGTACCAAGCGAGATATCAAATGTACGTTCTACCGGCGCTTTGCTTTGTATGATTGGCTAAATAAAGGATAGTCTAAGAAGCTCTTAGCTGCAAGTGCTCATGGTAGAAACACAAACAGCAATTTTCTTTTCTCAAATCTAGAAATATTACGCAAAACAATAAGATTCTAGAAGCTTTGGACAAATATACTATGATTACGTGTAAACAAGCTTCTTAATAAACACCTTTAAAGGAGAAAACGCTAGAACGAAAACAATAAATGAATATCTCAATAAACCAAAGTTAGTTTATTTATATAATTAAAATTTTTAAAAAGTGACACCAGAGATATAATTTAAGTTATAAATAATTCAATTTAAGTTCATGAAAAATGTTTTTTTTCATTTATACATAAACACTAAAATAAGCCCTAAAATCACAAAGGAATTAACCAAATATTGTCAAATAGATGTATATATATACAGAAAGATAAGACAAGTTTATTCTATCAGCTGACTAAATTTCCACTCACCCCCATCAGTTTCTCTTCATTCTGCGTTTCTTTTCAATGTAAGTTGTCTCTATCAGAAAAAGATTGGACTGTAATGAAAACAAATGTAAAATGGATAATTTCTGCCCATCCTCTCTCTCCATGTTTTGGGTACAAACAAAGAATAAAATTTCAACTAATAATCTTGTACATCTATTCAATTGAAACGCCCTTCATTAGACCCTTTGTCCAAGTTCCCTTCAAGGCATTGTGTAAGTGCCTTCTTCCTGAAGTTATACTTGCTGCATTAAAGATGACCGCATACAATTGCAACAAAAACACCATTTTATATAGCAAAGCAAAGAAACTATAAACTATTCAATTTGTAAACTGACCATTCTTTTTTTCAAACAAGTACTGAGAATAATACAATGCATTACAAGAGAGCTAAAAGATTTATCTGTTTGTCTTGCCGAGTCATTCCTCCTCTCAAAAAACGATGGTAAGAAGTTTAAAAATGTACACGCTCTGCAAATTTGTACATCTGATAGCTCATCAACAACCCACCATTTTCATTGCTCATTATGGCTAGACGTGCCAAGGTAATCAAGCCCCTCAGTTCGACATGCCATTATTTTCCGGAAGACCTCTCTCACTTGGCGCTCCAATGGGTCCAACCCATTTCTTAAAGCTTCACAGACATGCATTAGCTCCATCACATCACAATCAATTTGTGTTTTCTGGTCATCTGCCAATGGAAACTGAGCTGAATCTATCAGGTCAGTCATGCGGCGGCTGCTACTCTCAATCTGGTGTATCTCCTTCAACAAGCCATTCGAGTTTCGCCGCTCTCTCTTTTTTGACTCCTCAGTGATCCGTTCATGAAGTACAGAAACCGGAGTACTCCAGGATAATTGCCGTGGGACTGAAAAATGAATGCTTAGACCCCTATCCTGACAAGGAATAGCTGCAACAAGGGTCCACAGAACTATCAGCAGAATGCAGTTCATTGTATAAACCGGAATCGCAAGCCTGCTTGTAGCAGCAATCTCAGTAGGACGAGGTGGAACAAGGTTATTCGCAATGGACTGTAGTTGCTTGGTTGCAGACCAGGACCGGGAGACACTCCACGAATGTGATCTTGAATGCCCTGTTGAGTGATGATCCTTGCTAGAGTTATGTCGCCCAAAAGACCTATTACGCTGAGAAAAGATTGATCCAGATTCTTTCTCGTCAAGCATAGCCAATGCTAAATCCATCAACGCCTTTCTTGCTCTACGGAACTGCCCTTCAGTTAATGCTCTCTTAGTTGAACCAAAGGCACAAAAGACAATTTCCAGATGTTTTTGCCATGTGCGAATCTTCTCAATCCCATCTCTGCTTGCATTACAAATGTCAAGCGCCTTCACTGATCTATCAAAGAATTCGGAAACCATTCGATCCAGCGGGGATTTGGTGACATGCTCTTTGTTATTCAACAGAATGGCTCTGAATTCCTCTTGGCAGAGAATAAACGCATCGAGGACCTTCTGGATCCAACTAATTGTGAGAAACTCCTCATCACTAGCCACAGAAAGGTCTTGGAACCTATCTGTAACACGCTTTTGAAATAATCCAAGCTCTAAATTACAGGAATCGGATTCATGACTTGCTTCCACGGAATGAACTTGCTCCTGCCTCACACCAAATAATGAACGACCAAACGAGGACAGCGACGAAGAAGAGCCCTGATTTTCAGGCATTGCTACGGAGTCACAGCCTTCAGCAAAAGTCCCACTCGAGATCCCCAACAAACCGAACCAGAACAACAAAGATCACATGAAACACCTCAAAAACAACTGCATTGAATTTCTCTGTTTCAGTTTCACTTCCAATAAGTTACTGAACATAAGGAATTCAAAGTATCCTCAACAGTCCAACAAAATTCACACCAAATATCCAATTGACAACCTTTCGACTATCAAACATCGATCAAGTTAACAGATCAACAAAACTCTAATACCTAAATCGAAACCCAAATCTTAAAAGATCTCAACTTTCAATAACATGACTGCCATGTTCTTCCAATTCAAAAACTACGAAAACTCAACTAAAAGTCAAACCTTGATCTCTGACCCAGAAAACCATATGCTCAAACAATCTTAAAAAAAGTGCTGGGTTTCTTAAAATATCATCGTTTTATAAAAGAAATAAAAAAATAAAAATGAAGAGCAAGAGCTTGCAACTTGTAAGAAGACTCGAAGAAAAATAGAGAATAGAGAATAAAGGAGGTACCTCTGAACTTGAGAAGTTTAGAACCGAGAGAAGAAGACGATTGGAAATTTTAGGGGCAGAAAGGTGATCACAGAAAACGTAGAACTGACGAAATGGGAAATGGGAAATGGGAAATCCCCAAACCCTAGCGAAAGACCAAAGCCAGGGGCTTTGGTGTACGCTAGTTCAGGGGAAGCAAAAGCGATGTAGTTGGAATGTTATTATTGTGAAGAGTTCTGACAAGACAACTTTTTTTAAGGTTATTTTCAGAAATATAAGAACGCACAAGATTTTTGTCTAGAGGTCATGTCATGTTTATACTTATAAAAATACAATTTAAATAATTCCCAGCAGAGAATGTTCCCTTTTCAAGGTATAAAAAATAATTTCCTATTAAAATTCTATAGTGTTTATCTGAGGTTCTAAACTTTGATATACGTGAAAATAATTAAAATTATACTAATTAAGAAAGCCAACTGATATAAATTAATTTTATTGATCTTAATTTTAATTTTTATTAAATAATATTTATTAAAATTTGAGACCATGACAAAAATTATTGAAAATAAATCATACTTAATTAAAGGATATTTTAGGAATGATGCGAAAATAATTAAATTAAATTAATTTATTTCCACTATAAATTATAGTTTTCTATTTTTATTAATGTTTTGAATTTATATGTATGAAATTACTGTAATAAATATATTTTTTTGAAATTGTCTTGTTTACCCGTTTTAGTTCTATTTCATGATAAATACATAAAGGTAAATTAATCAAAAATTAAGTGAGAAAATGGTTATATAATTATTAAAAATAATTAATGTTATGTTAAACTATACAAGCAAACATATAGTTTAAATCAAATATTAAGTATTTAAATTTATCTTCTAATTATTTATTTATTTATTATTATATTTTCTAATTATAAAATAATTTTAAGAGACTAGTGTTGATATGAATTTCAAAAACATGTTAACTTTAAAAAGTTAGTTGAAAAATGTTATAAAATTTTGATGGAGCATTAAAAAGATTAGTGAATTAGCACGTAGTTTAATGATTGTCATTTGTATCCTCAAGTAGATTATCCAATTAATTAAAATATTATTATTTTAAGTATTTATAAGTATATAATTTGTATTTATAATTTTTCATGAAAAAATATGATTAATATATATATATATATATATATATATATATATAATTTTATAAATTAAGAGTATCTAACAATACAATGAGTATATACTTAAAATATAACTACTCACTGTTCAATCTTTAATAGTTTTATTATTGTTCATTTCTTTCACTCTCAGTATGTTCTACTTATATATAATACAACTATAGCAAGTGGACAAACCACAACACAGCAAATAACATGGTAAGCTAGTGAAATTTTAACAACTTATATATTTAAGCATCTACTAAAACAAACATTAAAATACATATAATCCCACCCTTCAATATCCATATAATATTCATAAAACATAGATATATTCTAAAGTCAATTTTGGGAATACTTATGCATTGAGTTGAGTGCTTATGAAGTTTTGCACCTATCATGTAACCTTGTAGTATAATATCACACCTGGCCTAGATTTACCAAGTCTAAAAATCTTTCCTTCACGATAGGGTTAATTACTTCAATCCTTTAAGTCACAACATTATTTCATATTGATCTTGTAGACCAAGAATCTCATTCAACTATCACCACCTAAACTTCATTCTCTATATGAGTATAT